TCTGACTTTCCTTCATCCTGAAGCTTCCTGATCGCAGCACAAGTCCAACACAGCCCCCTGGTGGCAGGACGGCACAGTGCACACAAACCAGAGCCACGTTCACTGCTGGCTGTCTTACGCCATCTGTTGGTCAAACAGCCACATTGCCACGTTCTGCTCAGCACCTTTAGATACCTGCCAGACGCTCACAACAACAAACACCAGCCCTGTGTCCTGATTTTTTTTAAATGAATGATAACAAGACATGTTTGACCCTCAGCGACCAACAAACTACTTGAGAGATGAATTATGTGCAATATTTTCATTCTTACAAGTGCAATATACGCAAATATTTAGTGTTGAACAGAGCTGATCGTGGCTTTTGCACTTGTATTGCTTGTGTTTTTACTTATATTTTTCTCTTGTTTTACATTATTACTTATTAGGCTTTTTAAAAACTGGGACCTGAGTCCTCATTAACATGTAAACATGTGAATGTGAGCTGGCACGACAGTAAACTTCCTTCAATCCTAAAGTTGAAGTGTGCACACAATGCCAACGCCCTGAGGACCTGTAGTCTGTCTCTGACAGCCGTCCATCCCAGTCACAACTCAAACAAACATCTTCCTGTGTGTTGTTATGTATTGTAAGGAAGCACCAAACAGGTTTTGGATTTTGGAGAAACTACAGTGAAGGTGGAGTGCACAATCAAGCCCAAGGTCCAAGCTGTTCCAATACAAACGATGGTGTCTGGATGGACACAACCAACATGTCAGCACCAGTAAACAGACGGTACTCCATGGGGAGACATGCACTATCTTGGCATTCTCATTTCCTGTGAGGTATTAAACGTAGGGTGACCATATTTGACGACCAGGACACTCGGCCCAGCAGTGAGATGCTCAGATGATACTCAAAGTTTACTCAAAGATCATTTCAGTACATTTAACGTATGCCTCCTCCAGGACAGGACCAGAACATTTTCATCACTACCAGGACCTGAACACATGACATGTTCTGGGACAACAGGAAGTTTGGTCACCCTAATCAAACATATCACTCTCATGCGACGACACGAGACGCCCAAAACTACCACGAAAGACTTTTTACTGCAAAAAAAATCAGCAGAAAGTCCATTATTTACCTTCCAGTGGTTCTCTCTTTGTTCTCAGTGCAGGCTTTTAGAGGGAAAATGGCTTTGCAGGCCAAACAGGGCGGGTTTTATCACTTCCTGGGCGTGTCCAGCAGGATGAAGGCGGTGATTTCAGGTGAGGGGTTTAAATTTGAGACTCTAGCAAACATTCCTGTACATCTCAAAAATGCACAAATCCTCCACAGCATTCATAAGAAGCAGTATTCAGGTGATACAAGGAGAAGAGCAGCTCTCTGTGGATGTAAAATCCTGTGATGATGATGCACAGACAGGAACAGGCTGCCCTTTCTTCTACTCTTCATGTAAACTTATGCCTGAGCAGAAACACAGCGCCCCCTTTTGGCTCACAGCTGAACTATCTGTAAACAATAAACACAGAAAATAAAAAACCCTGATTTGTTCCAGGCCCTGGCTTCCCGCTGAGCAGCAGAGGTGTGACTGTGGGAAGACGCTGCATCAGGTCCGGTCTCAGCTCGGCCGAGTCACACTTCGTCACCTCATCGGGTGTCTGAAATCACACCAGTGACGCAGTCAGAGTTCACCGAGGCAGGGCAGCAGTCACGCTCTGCAGATGAGCTGAAACCAGCACTCACGCAAAATTAGAAACCACAAGAAGTAATCTCTCCACCTGCATTTATCGCATAAAGATGAACACCGAATTAGAAATTAACTGAAGTGTTTTAATCTAACTTTGAAGAGAACGTAGCCACAAACTGCACAGGTACCTGGAAAACAAAAGGTTATCACTTCATGTTTCTATGGCTAGAATTGATTATTTCTGACTCACTGTTTGGACCTGAGTGTGTGTTTGCTGTGAACCGTGACACCACAGAGGTCAGACTTGGGCCTGAACACCGTCCACTCCTTCAGGTGTTTGTTCCTCACACCCAAGTTCACACCAGCTCCTGGGAAAGAGCTGCATGTGTCTGAGAAGTTCACCAAAGTTCACAATCTCATGTCATGGGACACAGGGCAGCGTGCAACGGTCCAAATCTACATCCATCATAACTGACTGTCCCTGGATGTGGATAGCTTTCCTCAATTTCCTACGTTGGCAGAAGATTCCTAGAAGTTTGGATATCCTGCTGCTGCCAACACTCACTCATACTCATGAAGTATGCAAAATGCTGCCACGCCCAGGAAGAAGTGGAGGATTTCTTTTGACCGCTCTTCAGGTTTTGCCACATCAAGTTTAGCTTTTTTGCTATTGTGTTGACCCATAAATAATATACACTCACTCACATTCACAGACAGAACAGACGGTTTTGTGACTTTATTTTCTCCAGTTTTGCTCCAACAATCTTTTAGCAACAAGCCCATATCTGTAACTTGACCACCGACCCATTAAGCAACAACTAGACACTTTAATATATATAATATGAGCTTCAGATGGCCTACGCTTCATGCAGTGAAGGCTGTGAGTTCACCAGAGAGGGCAGCAGTCCCTGGTTTTATGTTTGACTCTGGAGGTGAGCAGATTTCACACCGAACCAAGTGACGCTCCTGTAGCTCCTGTAGCTTTGACACCCACAGCTTGGGAAAGTCCAGGAGAGCCCAGAGGCTGTGAGAGCTGCAGCGCTGCATCACAACTTCTAATATCAGGTCAGTATTTAGACAATAAATTTAAATTTTAATGCTTGTTAGTCAGACTCACTCAGAAAGACACACAGACAGGTTTTTGTGGCTTGAACCCTCTGCAGTCTTATTCTGATTCATTACTGTCAGTGTGAGAGATAATCAGTGAGTGAACATTAGTGTGTCGGTTTAATAAAACGCTCTTAATCAGCGGTCTGTCCGGTGGAGGTTGTTCCTTCAGCAGCAGAGCGCCAGAGGTCACGGAGGCTCCCGTCGGGAAGGTGTGCAAACTTTGCACTTCGGAAAACACCTAAAGATGACCCGAGAAGTTCCCACAGAACGACCCGAGAAGTTCCCACAGAACGACCTGAGAGGCTGTGGGAGAGTTCAGCAGTTGAACAGTAAAGATGGACACATGTTTCAGCAACTGGGCACCAAACTTTCTGAAACGAGGCCTTCATACCTCAACGTATTCACAGTTTGCATGCAGGTTGAATAAATGGATGGACTACACACAGTAGAGAACGCCTCTGTTCTGTGGTTTAATATCCAACAGTTTGTCAGTTTGTACTACATGCATTTCCCAGCTAAACTCACTCTAGACTTTCTACTCTAAGTGTGAAACAATAAAACTGAATCATATCTATAATATGAACTATATGGAAGTATTATTGTCACATTGGCTGAAATCCTAACAACCGATGTGGTGCTTCGGTTCACAGGCCTTTATTAGGATCATTTTATTTTTGCATTTTAGATTTTATTATAATTACCAATACTCATTTATGGGCAGTAGTGGAAAAAGGAGAACTACACGATGATGTTGCTGCATTTGATTTGTAACAGGGACGGATTCATACACAGTTATCATCACATCCTGATTTCTAGTTTTGGAGCTTTTGTGTTTTTGTTGTCAGGCTGCAAAGTTGAACTGGAACATATGCGACACATTAAAGGGGAAACAGTGCGGATCTAGTGGGTATAACTGGCATCTTGCTGGAGTAGTTTGGGTCTTCTTGGGTCACTTTAAATGAATTAAAAGTTCATCACATTTATCCTGTAATGAAACCTTTCTGTCTGGATGGGAGCGGTCTCCTCCAGGACGACCACTCCTCCATCTACAGGCCTCAGGGAGCCACTGAATAGTTTGATGAAAGCGATGTGAACCGTGTGCCGTGGCCTTCACCAGATCTCAGCTCCAACCTGAGGGAGACTCTGGATGTTAGACAGCGTTCTGGACCATCAACATCCAACAACCAGCGAATGAGGGAACATCTTTGGCAAGAACGGTGTTCATCCCTCCTGTAGACACTTGGAGAAGCAGTGCTGAGGGTGCAGCTGGCAGCTTGTTAAGATGCTTTTTTTAATTATTGAACTGTTCATTTAATTATTACAACCCTGTGAGTGAAGAGAAGTGAGAGAATTTATAGTCAGGCGTAAATCTTTTGATGGAAAATTTAGCATCATGTTGAGACGATGAACCGAGGAGCCTCTGATGAGACACTATCAGTGGTTTCTGTCTGAACCGTTTCCTCCTTCTGTCTCAGCTTATCTGCTCTCCTGACAGGGTTTACACCTTCCACCTGTCACGCACTTCCCGCACTTCAGGCGACACTGCACAGGAAATGGGGCGTTTACCACCTTGCACTTCTCCATGGGAAAAGAGCTGCGAGCAGGCAGATGTATCAAATAAAGCAAAGTGGAAGAAAAACACTTACTCTGCTACGAGAAAAGAAAAGAAGAAATAAAAAATGTGCGCCTGGAGTGTCTGTGTAGGATCATGGTGTTGGATGCTTCAATCAAAAAGCACGCGAGAAATAATTAAATAAGAGAGCCCCAGAGAGACGTTACGCACGTTTCACAGACTTTCAAATGGAAATGTTCAAAGTGTTCGTGGAGGAGTCTTCCCTCTCCCCAGAGAACCCAGTTTCCTCAGGATCAATGAGCGCTGCCAGAAGCAGTGAAGAACCCAATTTACTGTTTATTTGTGTAATAAATTATTTGATTTTGACTGATTTCTACCCGGTATGACTCCACCTACAGAAGGAAAAAAATCGGATCATATAAGTAAATAATCCCCAGACATCAGCGTTCATTTAATGCATTTTATTTCAATTGCTTAGCCGAATACAAAAGAGGTAGTTAAAGGAATAACTTAAGCATTTACATTCTCGTTAGATATAGAAAAAGAAAAAAAAAGATCTATTTACATGTATTTACAGGAATAAATTAAAGGAGATGTATATATATTAGCACACTATGCAGCAATTTGTCTTCAAAGGCTTCAGATGGTTTAGTTCAGCTCCTTCTCCACTTCCTCGTCGTCATCGTCGCTCTCTTCATCGCTGCTGGAGTCTTGATACGGGCAGATGGTCGCTTGGACCGGATAGTTGCGAAGCAGCATCTGTGCGTCCTGGTACAGATAATCGAAACATCTCGATTTCGGCCAGTACAACCTTCAAACAGAAAAAAAAGTGCATTCATTAAATATGATAAGAAATACACAAGAAATAAATTTGATTTAATTGACAAAACTCCACTTACTTCACTGGATGGACGACCTGAGGAGGTTTGGGGACGTTTGCAGTGGAGGGGTCTCCATGCCCGGAGTGAGTCTGAAAGTTAAAACAGAGCGATCCCGTTAGACGTTTGGTCCATTAGGCAAAGCATCTTTTTTAAATTTAAGCAGCTGAAGTCGCTAAAACCCACCGTGCACGGCGCAGCTTCGCCCCGATTCCCACTCCACGGTCTCCACATGTCGGGTTGCTGCGCGGAACTGGCTCCAGATAAAACAGGCGTTAATCCACGGTTGGTAGAGTGGGCTTCCATGTCTCCCTGCGCTTTGATCAGCTCCGAGCGTAGTCCTGTGAGGATGTGAGGCTGACGGCAGGAACCTCCTATTTATCAGGGGCCCTGGCAGCCCGTGCCAAATTGCGCTTTGACGCGTCCCCAAGTGTTTCCATGCGCCATGGTGTTAAGGTGCGAAGTCACACTGCAGCAAACTCAGACCATATGGTTGCTTTCGGTCTTATTTTTGAATGTGGGATAAAACATTTCTACTGGGAGACTGGATCTGTTCAAAACACTACGATGAGTATATATATATGTTGACCAGATGTAGCAGCTACAATACCCGAAGCTGCCATGACGCGTAATGCACTGTGCGTAATGACAGCTTCACGTTATGAAAACTAACTTTTTTTAAAATTATTTTTTAAAGGCCCATCTGGCAACACAATTAAATGTAGATCTGTATTTTTTAAAAATCGCCAAACAGCTGCTTTGGTTTCTGCTAAAGTTTAAACTGAACTCTTGATCCCCTTAACCTCTCTTTATCTCGATCTGTCTGAGGTGCCATTTGGGTTTGAGGTGTGAACAAACACGTGCCATACTGTCACAGCCTGCTCAGTGGACGATGGAGGAAGGCTCGTGTGTGTGTGTGTGTGTGTGCGTGTGTGCGTGCGTGCGTGCGTGCGTGTGTGCGTGTGTGTAGAGAGAGAGAGAGAGCTCGCCACGCGTCAGCCTTTTGTGTACACAGCAGCAGCAGGATGGGCGCTAATAGTTACACCTGGGCAGATGCAGAGCCTGAACGCATCACAACCCATATGGAAACCTAATGATGTTATGCAACTTCCACAGGAGCTCCATTCATTTGCCCTTTAAAGAAATCTATTTCATAACCAGCTGATTTAATTAGTCCCTCTCATTTTGTATTAAAATAAACGTTCTGGATAAGCGAAATGTTTTCCCCTCAGTGCACCAGCAGATGGAAGTGTGGGGCTGCACGCTGTGCTGCAATCATGGGAGCACTGTGATATCTGATGCATATCTACACCAAAAAGTAAATTTATAAAATGCAACACAAGTTCAAGCACTACCAGGTGTTTTCCTTTGACTTCATTCATTCGGTGCTAATGGGTGCAGCATCTGTAACCGTGGCTGTGAGGCTTCAAAGGTGAGCCATGCATGACCAGCATTACATTTCTTTGCCCACTAATTTCATTGACATCACAACGCCTCTCCGGGGAACAAGCAGTGAGAGCCTGGCGCTAATAAGGTCCACAAAGACTGCCTCCTCTCTCTCCATTTCTCTCTTTGTCTCTCTCTGGGCCTCTTTTTCAGATCTGGAGCTAATTGGACACACCATGCTCTGCTGCTGCCTCCTTTTGTGTGTTTGGTGCACTCTTTTGCTCTGCTATAAATATATATAAATAAATAAAATGAACACATTACATGCTGTTGCTGTTCAGACTACACAGGAACAAACATGATCTTTGGATTTCATAAAATAAGCAGATCAATGCCATAGTTACAAAAACACCTTCACATACAGCCGAACTGGGGCGGCACATTTAGAGTCTTTTATGGGTTTGCTTTGGTACTGCTCACCACAGAGACACTCCTTGTTTGTAGTGAGAGGTCTTCCCAACACGTACATTCTGACAGAACACCGCAAAGTATGTCGAAGGAGTGAATTAAAGAATAACACAAAAGCAGCAGGGACGCTGGATGTGAGGTCCCTGCTGCCAGCTCAGGATGAAACTAGATTGGAATTCCCTGCCAAGTCCACAGAAGCACACACACACACACACACACACACACACACACACACACACGGGGACTGAGCATCACACACTCATCATGGAGAGCACAGATAATCCAAGATCAAGCCATTATCCCTTATTGGCTCGAGCCATTAAGCCTAAATAAGTAACAAAAGGATGAGATGGAGATAAGGAGAAGACTGTAAAGAGGAATTCGACATTGAAGGGATGCCGTTCATAATTTAGACGCTGAGCATTTTTCTTCTAACTAACCAGAAGCCTGAACCTGCTTGACTGAAAGCCAATTTCTTGCTATTTGCCAAGACTCCCCCTTTTTTTTTAGAACCCCCTGAAATAACCTCATCCATTGCTCTCCCTGGCTTATTATTCACAGGTCACGCAGGCTCTTTTCTGCCCAAGTCATTTACACTTCTCTTGTACAATGACTCTAGATGCTCCTTTCCAAAAGAAATCCTTCTCCATGGCAACAGCCAACCACAAATAACCCAATTTTCCAGGAGCCCATTCAGAAAACCTTTTTCAAATCTACCTTATCACCATCACCGCACATTACATCACCTCTACAAATGAAGGCGGCTTAGTTAAGTCCCAGCTTGCAGCCGTTAATCATGTGGCGGTGTTACATATTCACGGTTTCCTTCTGAGGGATTCTGTGTGTGAGTGTTTAGTGTAGGTGTGCTGGCCGGCTGTGTCCAAACCGTTCCTGTGCTTGAGTTAAGAAGTTGTCAAATCGCTGTTGTACGCTGCTGCTCTGAGTGAAATCCTGCTCTAGTGTCATACTCAGATGGCAGCACGAGTTTCAAGATGTGCTTTTATTCTCTTGTAAATGAGAAAATATACCCACAATATGGCTCTAAAAGAAAAAAAAAAAAACAGCCTGTCAAGCAGCTCTAATCAATATGTTACTAATACCAATGCATCAGAATGGATTGTTTTGTATTGATTTGAAGAAACTCAAACTTGAGATTGAAGTCTGTATGCTTCTCCACAGTATTGCCGGTATGCATCAGGCTCAGGGCTGCGCTTCGATTAGAGCTGGATTAACACATCATACTGAAATCTATAAAGAAAAAACAAAATTAGAAACCTGAGGAGACAAAACAATAGTCTGTACGTTTGAAGTTTAATCAAGTTCTATTAAACTTGAATTAGTTAACTGGGAGAAATCAATTAATTAACTAGAAAATAAATGTGTTTAATTAGTTAACCAGTAGAAATGTCTGTTTTGCAGCCAAAACAAGGACTTAAACACAGATGAAACGGAAATGACAAGCTCTAACATATGATTGATGTTTAATTATTGCAGATGTCAAGTTCAGAGCGCAAAAATGAAAAATCCGCAACAATAGGAAACGTTAGCGCACGAGGAAGAAATCGTCAAACATAAAGACTTCATGTGAAGCCACGCTGATGCTGGTAGCGGCTCGGCGTTTGGCCTGTAGGTCCACCTGTTGGACTGAAATGTCTTCACGATTTTCAGGTGAGGTATTACAAAACGGGTTGCAAGGTGGCTCGGTGGTTAGCACTGTTACCTCACAGCTAGAAGGTCGCTGGTTCGCATCCCGGTTAGGACACCCGGGATCTTTCTGCGTGGAGTCTCCATGTTCTCCCCGTGCAGCGTGGGTTCTCTCCGGGTTCTCCGGCTTCCTCCCACAGTCCAGAAACATGCTGAGGTTAATTGGTAATTGTAAATTGTCCGTAGGTGTGAATGTGAGTGTGCTTGGTTGTCTGTCTCTAAGTGTAGCCCTGTGATAGACTGGTTACCTGTCCAGGTGAACCTGCCTTCACCCTGAGTCAGCTGGGATAGACTCCAGCCCCCCACGACCCTAGTGAGGATTAATGGATGGATGTTTTCCAAGGGAGGAAGCACAACTGGTGATCCCTCACTATTCCTCTGGAGCCTCCACGAGGTTTACTTTTGCGGTTTTTGGATAGACTGCCATGAAATTAAGCCCCTTTGTCGATCCCGTGACTCTTTACGGAGTGCCACCAGTAGCTCAAAACTTTTATTAACTTCTGTGCAATAACTGACGGATTGGAACACGTTTTTATAGATGTTAATGTTCTCCGTGTTATGTAAGGTGTTTAATGACTCACTGTTCCTCTGGTGCCATTGTGAGGTTTTATCTTTTTTATTCTTGTATCTACTTCATAATGATTTTTTCTCCGTGAGGATTCGTGGCGGCTGGCACGTGGAGATTTTCCAACTATCCAAAGTGCCTTAAAGTTTTAAAGGCCCACTGAGGGATTGCACTGGAAATTAGCTGAAAGTTTAAACTCTGTGGTGGCATAAACTCGTTACACATACTTGTCCGTGCAAATGACACGGTTTGAGTGCCTACATTCAGATAGACTGACACGATGCAGCAACCATGTGCCTGGCATATCAAACAGTACATTTCATAGCCACACAAGCTTGGTTGAATGCATTAAGGGACACATTAACATTGATCTTTGCCCTCCTTGCTGTTGCAAGAGTGCTGTCCTTGTTAATCTTTGTTTGACTCGGACAAGTTTCATCCACACAGCAGGTAGCAGTGACTCATGGTACATTTACTAAAGAGGAGATGCTTGCTCTGAACCCACCTTCCTTCTTTAAAAAAATAAATAAATAAAAAGGGGTTCCTCACCATCAGGAAAATGAGGGCTGCCCTGCTGCTAGTGTGAAAATGATGTGATCCCTGCTGTGGCAAAAGAACATCACGATTTACTCTGAATGTCTTGATTACACATAAGACGTCTGTCCAGACGAAGACACCAACCTTGTAAATAAACTATACAGCTGAAAATCCACTGTCCCTTTCACAGCTCTGTTTGAAAGACACCAGACAGGCTTTGTTCAGAATAACTGCATTCTGAAGAAAACCTTTCCTGCATGCGATTATCCTCGACGAAAATCAGAGCCCGCGGAGGCGCTGGGCTTAGAGGTGGGAAATAACAGCCAGCCCGAAGGAGAAATCATGTAGCGTCTATTTATCAGGTGCTCATCAAACCTGCTCGGTATCCAAATGGAGCGGCAATTCAATAATCTTTGGGTCAAAATAATGATGCACGTTTGCCTCAAGACTTGCACTCGACGCTATCTGATGTCACGACGGACGCCTGAGCACCAGACCGCCGGCTTGTGTGTGTTTGCGCAGGTTTCTGTGAGCTCGGAGTTATCTTCTGAGAATGGTTATGCAGAAGGTCAGATTGATCCAGATCCCAGTTTAATTGAAGTCCAGAGTGTTCCCTTGGAAACCATCTGGCGGGGTACAAATGTAC